TGTGTGATTTGTGGCCTGCTTTTCTTTGTTATGAATGTTATTGATGTTAGTTATTACCGACTCCCATTAGAACTGTTTGGTTCATTCCATCTATCTTTACCTCTGTGCTTGGTTCTCCCTCCTCCTTCCAGTTCATTCTGAAGCCCACTTTATGAAGTTCCTCACACTGTGGTGAAACACATTCTTCCCAGTCCTTGTGAAGTGTAATCCATCTCTTGCTAGCAGTCCATCTTCGAGGAAGCTTTGCCTGTGATCTCAAAAATCAAATCTGTCAAGTCGATACCACCTTCATAGCCAGTAATTCACCCAGAGAATTTCCCTTTCTATTCCTCTTCCAAGTACTGGTAAGATGAATGAGAAAACCATCTGGGCTCCAAAGGCCTTGGGTTTCTTTCCCAGAGCTTCAAAATCTGATATGATCTCTTTGAAGTTGTGGCTATGTTGTTTGTTCCCACATGGATGACAAGAAAGGGATATTTATTTGTGGGTTTTATGAGTGGTACCCAGTTTCCCCGAAAATAAGACCTAACCTGAAAAATGAGGCCTAGTATTTTGGCCCCAAAAATAAGCCCCAGTCAAGAGAATCCCCGCCCACCACCATTGTGCAGCAACTAGAAGATATGTCAAATAAAACATCCCCTGAAAATAAGCCCTAATGCATTTTTAGAGCAACAATTAATATAAGACTTTGTCTTATTTTGGGGGAAACACAGTAACAATCCTTCTGTCACAATCCTACTCTGTTCTCCAGGAGACAGCATACATGGTGGGTCCATGGATTTTCCCGACATACCTCAATTTCTATCCCATGTGGTAGGGAGTCTCCTCTTCCTCTTTTCGTAGTGTGTGGGTTCAGTGCCTCTGCTTCACTGAGTTTTTGTCATGTACTCCTGTGAGGGCTACTCTTTGACTGTTTGCTGTGACTATGCAGCAGACCAAATCAACAATCTGCAGAACTATTCTAAAAATGGGGGTAGCCCAAACAAAAAAAATTATAACTTTGAAATGGAATTTGGATCAGCACTAAATTTGGCACATGTATAGCAGACAGTTTGCTCTTGCTCTGTGCCAAATTTTGGGAAGTTTGGGCAAAAGGTTTTGAATGTGTGTTTTTTAAAAATAAAACTGTTCCTCTGCATTCAGAAACAAGTGACCCAAAGTCCCATTCCAGAGACAGGTCAGGAGGATACTCTAGTCAATAATATTGAAAGCCACTGAGAGCAGAAAAACCCAACAGAGACACAGATCTTCATAGGGCTTCATGCCCAGCCCCTGATCATCCTTGTCACCCTCCTCTGAACCTCCTCCAATTTGTCAGCATGCTTCTTGAAGTGCAGTGTCCAGAACTGGACACAGTACTCTAGATGAAGCCTAACTAGTGTTGACTAGAGGGGAACTAGTACCTTGCAGGATTTGGAGACCATCCATCTGTTAATGCAGGTTAAAATAGCATTTGCCTTTCTTGTAACTGCAGCACACTGTTGGCTCATATTCAGCTTGTTATCTACGACAAATCTAAGATCCTTCTCACTTGTAGCATTGCTGAGCCAGGTATCTCCCATCTTGTAACTGTTTGTTTCTTATGTTTTTCCTAAGTGAAGTGCTTTTTAATTTTCTTTTTGTCTTCCAATACCTTGGGATTGATGTCAAGCT